ATACAATTTTTTTCCGGTTTGTCTAAATTCAATAGTACAAAATTCTACTTTATAATTGTCCATTGCGTCAATATATGTACGATGGTCCACATCATTACTATAAATGCTCTCTAAACAGGAGGATGGGCTGAGTATATATTTACACACTTATGTATCATGTATATGCACATTCATATACGAAGCATATACATGGAAATGCAGTTTTTATACTACCCTACGACATACTTCGACTGAGTTCTACTTTATATATTTGGAAGTATCTTACGACCAAATAAAATTAACAATAATAATAATAATAATAATAATAATAATAATAATAATAGAGACAAATACTTAAAGACCATACATTAATGAGTTATTTACTTGTAAAATGTTTGTCCTGCCTCACGAGTGCTAATTGCGCACGATAAATGGTTGGCAAGTGATTGTTAAACATATTTATGAGATTAAAATCCATAGGATGTTTGTAAAGTGGTTGTGTTCATATAGAAATTTTCTTGGAGCGTATCTTAAGGTTATGTTGAGATGATTACGGGGCTTTAGCGTCCCCGCGGCCCGGTCCTCGACCAGGCCTCCTTTTTGTTACACATCCCTAGGAAGCAGCCCGTAGCAGCTGTTTAACTCGCAGGTACTTATTTACTGCTAGGTAACAGGGGTATCAGTTTGAAAGAAACTTCCGCCTCCACCGGGAACCGAACCCGGAACCTCAGGACTATGAATCCGAAGCGTTGTCCACTCAGCTGTCAGGTCCGTAGAGACAAGAATTGGTTTTTTTTTTAATCTTTTGTCTTACATCCCTACACTGCTCTTCTATTTTCATCTATACTGTTGCCTGCTATATAAATCCATTTTTCGTGTTTTGTCAAACTTCTGTCGATAACACCCGATAAGTCTGTTGGCTTTGATCTCGACTCGCAATCATCGATCCCGGGTTCGACTCCCAGGAGGGACAGAAATGGTTGGGCACGTTTCCTTTTACCTAATGCGTCTATCCATCTAGCAGTAAATAGGCACTCGGGACTTAAGGCATTGTTGTGAGGTTACATCCTTGGGAGGTGGATATTATTATAAAATAATAAACCCCACTAAACCCCCCACCCTCACACCACCCTCACCTGGTAGAAATAGCATCCACTAAATAGATTAACATGTGTGCTCAGCACCACGCTGCTTAATTACTCCACGATCGTATCATTATTTTTAATAATTTAATCTACCACTTGCGAGGGAAGAAATGCCCTAAGCTACTTTATCCTTATGAGATGTATTTCGTTACCTCAATAAATTTAATTGAACCTGAACCTCCCCACTAACGTTATGTTCGTGTCGTGTCCAACCCACGCTAGGAGTACCTGCTGTACCAAGGTTCCCTGGAGACACCTACCTCAAGGTAAGGTAGGTGTCTCCTGGGAACCTTGGTACAGCAGGTACTCCTATTTGTCACCTTGCCCTCGCCATGATTTTAACTGTTTCATTCTGCTCAAACGAAGTGCATAGTTTTTCTTTTAGTTTTACAAGTAATTATAAAAGAAGGCACCCTTTCACAAGCTACAGCAATAAAATACCAGCATAAGGTAACACCATGAGCGCACGCGCAAGCATTTTCACGAATATATGACATTAAATGCTCATCGACACACATAAGAACGTAAAGTCAATCATAACATATAAATAAACATTTATATATGATTTAATGATGGTACGAGAATGACAAAAGCTGTCGACCCTCACCGCCTCAAGCACACAGTACACGCCTGTCTAACAACCAGCGCACCATTTACACTAGGTACCTTTATTTTGCAAACAACTACTCCCCAAATATGAACACTTAATTTAAAATAAAGCGAACTATATAGGCCTAGTCCATTAAATTGAAAAAAAAATTCAAAGTATCACATATTCGCAACTTTTAACTTAGTCTATAAACCATAAAACAGTATCCTCATTAGTAAACACCTACAATACCTACATAACATGACATATTTAGTTGACCAGACCACACACTAGAAGGAGAAGGGACGACGACGTTTCGGTCCGTCCTGGACCATTTTCAATCGACTTGAGAATGGTCCAGGACGGACCGAAACGTCGTCGTCCCTTCACCTTCTAGTGTGTGGTCTGGTCAACATACTTTAGCCACGTTATTGTGACTCATCGCCTGCATGACATACTTAATATAAAAAAAATAGATCTTTAACTTGGGAACAATACGTAATATATATCAGCCCATCCTTCTGTTTAGATAATAATTATCTTAACGATGTGGACCATCGTACACACATTGACATAATGGACAATTTGAGAGTAGAATTTGGTACAACTGAATTTAGACAAACCGGGAAAGGTTTTGTATTTACGTTGCTAATAAAACCTAACCAAACCATCCTAGGGCTAATACACGCTGTGAGGCCTAATATAATACATATATGTACTACGTTCCTAGGCCTAGGAATATTTAAGTTTGGTTTTTATCTTGAGTTTTTTAAAGATCATAAAGTGAAAAGTACCAAATTCTATTTAATTACGTCATTCTATCTAATTACGTGAATAGTACCAAATTCTATCTAATTAGTTATCTGCATTACGTCAATATATGCACGATGGTCCACATACTTACAAAAATTAATCTAAACAGGAGGATTGGTTGCATATACAGGCCTAGGCTTCTATGAAATACACTGTGGGCAAGGAACCAATGAGCCGTGTTTACTAAACACGTGTATCCCATCACAAAGAAGAAGGGAGAGGGGGGACATGATAGGAACGTATAAGATACTCAGAGGGATTGACAGAGTGGACATAGACGAAATGTTCACACGGAATAGTAACAGAACGAGGGGACATGGATGGAAGCTTGAAACTCAGATGAGTCACAGAGATGTTAGGAAGTTTTCTTTTAGCGTGAGAGTAGTGGGAAAATGAAATGCACTTCAGGAACAGGTTGTGGAAGCAAATACTATTCATAATTTTAAAACCAGGTATGATAGGGAAATGGGACAGGAGTCATTGCTGTAAACAACCGATGCTCGAAAGGCGGGATCCAAGAGTCAATGCTCGATCCTGCAGACACAACTAGGTTAGTACAACTAGGTGAGTACACACCTGAATGAAGTTACTATAACGTGGAATAATACAGAACATAGTTTTTAGAAAAATTGTGGACATACTTAGTGTACCTGTGTAGGATAAGTTGCAATGTAACCAAGATTTATTTATTTATTTATTTTTTTTTTAAGATATATACAAGAGTTGTTACATTCTTGTACAGCCACTAGTACGCGTAGCGTTTCAGGCAGGTCCCTGGAATACGATCCCCGCCGCGAAGAATCGCTTTTACAACCAAGTACACATTTTACTGTTGTTGAGTTAAACAGAGGCTACAGTTAAGGATTTGCGCCCAGTAAATCCTCCCCGGCCAGGATATGAACCCATGATAGAGCGCTCGCGGAACGCCAGGCGAGTGTCTTACCACTGCACCACGGGGACTTAAAAAAGATTGATAAATAATAATCAATAACTCGCAGTTACATAGCTTGATCCAGCTCAAGGTTCATGAAATTTTGTCTCGGATATGAATATTTCGCAGCACTAATCATTTCCCAAAACAATGTACACTATACAAACACCAGCAGACGCACTGACACACACACTACCCCCAGCATCCACTAAATAGATTAACATATGTGCTCAGCACCACGCTGCTTAATAATTCACCATCGTATCATTATTTTTAATCATTTAGATCTTGTATACTGCTGATATTTACAATATAAATGCATTGAGATTATCATCATTTTAAACCAGTAATAGACTTAGGATTAACGCTTCTATGGTGACCGCGCTCAATACGGAATTGATATACTTTTAGCTAACTCACTTCACACACCCGCATCGTCACTGTGGACTCACAGTGATTTAATATCGAATACACACACATATGCAGCGACATAATAGTAGCCTTTATTTACACAGTATAAGTGGCATCCTTCGCACGGTCGCAGTATTGTGTAGGCGGTCCCACCCACGCCACTCGTGGGTGGGGACCAGGAGGGTTCACTCTCCCACCTGTGTAAAAAGTTTGGTTCACACCGCGACCTGGGAGAGTAAGGTTCACACAGCGACCTGGGAGAGTAAGGTTCACACCACGACCTGGGAGAGTATGGTTTACACCACGACCTGGGAGAGTATAAGGTTCACACAGCGACCTGGGAGAGTATAAGGTTCACACAGCGACCTGGGAGAGTAAGGTTCACACCGCGACCTGGGAGAGTATGGTTTACACCACGACCTGGGAGAGTATGGTTTACACCACGACCTGGGAGAGTATGGTTTACACCACGACCTGGGAGAGTATAAGGTTCACACAGCGACCTGGGAGAGTAAGGTTCACACCGCGACCTGGGAGAGTAAGGTTCACACCGCGACCTGGGAGAGTAAGGTTCACACCGCGACCTGGGAGAGTAAGGTTCACACCGCGACCTGGGAGAGTAAGGTTCACACTGCGACCTGGGAGAGTAAGGTTCACACAGCGACCTGGGAGAGTAAGGTTCACGCAGCGACCTGGGAGAGTAAGGTTCACACCGCGACCTGGGAGAGTAAGGTTCACACCGCGACCTGGGAGAGTAAGGTTCACACAGCGACCTGGAAGAGTAAGGTTCACACTGCGACCTGGGAGAGTAAGGTTCACACCGCGACCTGGGAGAGTAAGGTTCACACCGCCAACCCTCCACCCAGCCTGGCTGGCCTCCACCCCCGCACTCAACGTCTCACAACTTCCATTTTAACGTTTACAAACAAGTCTTTTAATAGTTCAACGTTTCTTTGCGGAATTTAACGGTTCTCGGTTATTGATGTAATTGCTAAGACATTCTCTTCTTAATCGCATTGGCGTAAACACCGTAAAACCGGACAAGAGAGCAATTATTACCGCGCGTAAATAAACACGGATCACAGGAAGAGAGCTGACACACCCTCCACGCACGACAGCCAGACTCAGACTGTGGCAGACGACGCACAACACTCCCGCCAAACACGCGGACGAGGAACAGAGCCATCTATGGGCGATCAACTTCACTATTAGTCACTAACCCCGCTACGTGAATTTCATGATTAGATTTTAGTATCTTAAATATTTGATTCAAAAGTAAATGGTTAAAAGGTAGTATCTTTTTGAAAATTATCCAGATTTCAAGAGCTATTTGGAAATAATGAGCTGTTATGATAAAATCACGAGTAATAAAGAATGAAATAATAATTTTCTATTAGAAAAGTTATCTTCTTTCTGTATCTTTGAATTAGAATGTCTGTCAGTTTGATAGTCTGTCTGAAATTAAAGGACAGCTGCTTAACGTTAGGCTCAAGCAACTTTCCATAGTGATTTGTATGGGGCGCCACCTATTCCCCCCCCCCCCCCTCTCTCCACACACACGTGGTCAAATAAGAGGCCAAATGAACAACAGGGCAGTTAGAAATAATTTTAGTGTCAGAGTAGTTAAATAGAATGTATTAGGAAGTGATGTGGGGGAGGCAGCCTCCACATACACAGTTTCAAATGTAGACACAATAGAGCCCAATAAGCTCTGGAACTTGTTCACCAATTGATTGACAGTTGAGAGGCGGGATCAAAGGGCCGAAACTCAACCCCCGCAAGTACAATTAAGTAAATACAACCAGGTGAGCACGTACAAAATACTCAGGGGAAATTGAAAAGGGGTAGATTAAAAAAATTTAATTCGGGTGGTACGCGAACAAGGGGACACAGGTGGAAACTGAGTGCCCAAATGAGCCACAGAGACATTAAAAGAACTTTTACAGTGTCAGAGCAGTTAATAAATGGAATGCATTAGGAAGTGATGTGGTGGAGGCTGACTCCATACACAGTTTCAAATGTAGACATATGTAGAGCCCAATAGGCTCAGGAACCTGAACATTAAATGATTGACAGTTGAGAGGCGGGGACCACAGAGCCGAAACTCAACCCCGCAAGCACAATTAGGCGAGTACAGTACTCACACACAGGTCCTCGTAGCCGACCGGACAGCGCTCTGGAATCATAGTCCCAAGGGCTTGAGTTCAATTCCTCGTCGAGGCAAAAACAAATGGGTCAAGTTTCTTTCACCTAATGTTTCTGTTCACCTACGAGTAAGAAGGTACCTAGGAGTTAGGCAGCTACTACAGGCTGCATGCTGGGAATGTAGAAGACATGATAGAGCAAAAATAGGTCGGAAGTCAGTACATTATACAACCGACAATTCTGCCGGCATGAATAGTAACTACACTCTCTGCTCGGTAATTACGACTCTCGCACTGCGCTTCGCGAGCGATTTGGCCTGGATAATATCCCAGCCCGCAGCCCGTCCTCCAAACAAAGACCCAAAAGTGATTCCATGTACCTGCCAAACCCCCTGTTTATGAATGAAAAATGGTTTACACACGATTCGCAACTGATTTCGTTCGAACACTTCCGGAACAAGTGCTTCACTGACGACTTTTGTTCGAACTACAACGCTGTGAATGCTTCACCCACGTACTACAAGTACAAATAATCCCCAACAGAACCTAAACACCTAACCTAACCTAACCTAACCTATGCCTATATATGCACAATATGCTACTATATTATAATATTAATTTGTATATGAGAAAATTCCTGTTTTGAATGAACAGCATGTTAAAATTTAACCCGTTCTCGCATACAAAGATCCAAGCTCGTTAATTCAGCCGCCTAATCCCCTGTTTATGAATGAAAAGCGGTTTACACACGACTCACAACCGATGACGTCCGAACACTTCCGGAACAAGTGCTTACGTCCTCTGTTCGAACAACAATTCTATAAACAGCCCGTCTTCCAAACAAAGATCCAAAAGTGATTCCATGCACCCGCCAAACCCCCTGTTTATGAATGAAATGCGGTTTACACACGACTCATAACTGCTGACATTCGAACATATCCGGAACAAGTGCTTCACTGACGAATTTTGTTCGAATCACAACGCTATAAATGCTTCACCCACGTACTACAAATACAAATAATCGCCAACAGAACCTAAACACCTAACCTAACCTATCCTATGCCTATATATACACAATATGCTAATATATCATAATATTAATTTATACTTGAGAAAATTCCCGTTTTGAGTGAACAGTATGTTAAAATTTATGAATGCGTCTGTGGGGTTGACCGCTGAATGTAATGGACTTGAGTCGAGGACGGGTCGCTATAAATGCTTCACCCATGTTCTTCAAATACAAATAATCGCAAATAAAACCTAATGACCTAACCTAACCTAACCAACGCCTAATTATACAGCGAATTTTTATGTATAATATTAATTTATATATGAGAACAAACTAATTTTCAATACACAGTATGTTAAAATTGATGAATGCGTCTGTGGGGTCGACCGCTGGATGTAATGGACTTGAGTCGAGGACGAGTTGCATATCCTGGCTGGGGAGGATTGACTAGGCGCCTGTCCGTAACTGTACAGCTCTGACCACCCAGCAGTAATTGAATACCTGGTTGCTAAACAACTGGTGGGTCGTATATTCCAAGGAAACTAGTGGGTAAGGCTTACCGTGAAGGAAGGAAGGAACTATCAGGGGGGAAGCGCCAAGCCATTAAGGCTATATAGCACTGGGAAGGGGTCAGGATAAGGATTTGGGATGGGACGGGGAGAAAGAAATGATGCCCAACCACTTGGACGGTCGGGGATTGAACGCCGATCTGCATTTCTCTGCTTACCGTGAGCTATGGACGGGAAAACACCTATCCTGCTCACAGGAGTCTGTTCCTGTACCCACCTGTGTAATTCTCTCTCTCCTCTCTTTTTTTTTAACTAAAACTGGGGCTCATTAGAGCTGTCAAGTGAAGTACCAAGTGAAACTACAAGCAAGAGCTGTTATCCTACCTCAGCTCATTTAAAGCCTGTGCCTAGATATTATTGGAGTGGGGGGGGGAGAATAATCTTTATTTAAATCTAAGTGATAATCATATAAGGAACAGGCTGAGCCTGTAGCCAACTGTGTGATGGGCGCTGTTTGTCGAGCAGTGTCTTCTATGGTGACATCTTGACGTACCTGTCTTGTCCTTACTCTCATGGTGGGTACAGTGTATAGTTCCGTAATTTGAGTATTTATGGTAGGTTGTTCTATTTAACCTATTTAACCACTATTGGTTAAAACAACCAATTTTATATAAAAATAGAACAACCTACCATAAATACTCAAATTACGGAACTATTCACTCTACCCACCATGAGAGTAAGAACAAGACCGGCAAGAATGTCAAGATGCCAACATAGAAGACACTACCCGACAAATAGGCGCCCATTATGTTATTTCTTTATCATTATGTTTTTCTTTACCATTATGTTTACCCAATGTATAACCCCATTGTTTACACCTGACCCCATTGTTCGATCCATTTGTATTCACCTGACCCACTATTAGTATAAAATATAATGTCCTGTACTGTAACATTTACGGGCTCACCATAGCCCATGCTACATGGACATTTCGTTCTGAGTAGCTAAATCTACAACAACAACATACTGTAACATCACTTGAGAATGAACCATATAGGTTCGACACGTGCGATTTTATAATAAGTGTAATACATTCTTCAGTTATTCACTTCTTTTTCTTCACCTTGAAAACGAACATGTCTTTTGGTGAACTCCTCTTCCAGCTTAACCCTGATGCAAGAGCACTAGTAAGAGAGATAGAAGCCCTAAATCAGAAAATAGTTAATAAGGAATATGGTGTCATATTCAATGAGACATGCATATATATATATATATATATATATATATATATATATATATATATATATATATATATATATATATATATATATATAATCTTTGGACAACACCCACCAGTGGGACTCGAACCCAGAAAGCACAACTACCTTCCAGTAGCTGGCATAACTAGTATGCTTTAACCCACTACGCCATCAGACCTTACAAAAGAAGTAGATAGTTCGAGATATATATATCTCAAACATCTCTACCTCCCGAAGGCACCAGATGAGTGAGGGGTCAGTCTGCAATTTTCGTCAAGCCACTGTCAATGTGAGAGAACTCGTGTCCAGCTTATAAGTCCAGTTGTCCAAAGATTGTTTATCTTCACTTGTGGTTTATGCAAGTATAGGCTTATATATATATATATATATATATATATATATATATATATATATATATATATATATATATATAAATATATAAATATATAAATATATATATATAAATATATATATAAATATATATATAAATATATATATAAATATATATATAATATATATATATATATATATATATATATATATATATATATATATATATATATATATATATATATATATATATATATAATAAAGGTGAAAACATGGGGGGATACATAAGGGATAAATGTGAGGTGAAACATAGAGGTAACTGCAGAAGGCTTATTGGCCCATACGAGGCATCTCCTATCTAAACACAAAGATTAATCCAGTGTAATTGGCCTATTATGTTGGACATTGTCTTCTGTGTTGGCATCGATATGTTCTTGTCTTGTCCTTACTCTCATGGTGGGTAGAGTAAATAGTTCCGTGATTTGGGTGTTTATGGTAGGTCGCTCTATTCTTATGTGAATTGCCTCAAGAATTTGTAATCTTCTTGCATCTTGGGTTTTGTCTATTATGCAGGTATTCTTGTTCAACATTTCTCTTATTAGAGTAATGTCATGGGCTTGTCTCATGTGATTCCTAGGGGCACCGGATTGAAGATGGCATGTCAAACGCCTCGTCAGCTTGGTCGACATCATACCTATGTACTTACATTGAAGGTTACATCCTTCGTGGGGGCAAGTGTACATGTATACAACGCTTGACTGCTGTAGAGGGTTCTCCGTCGGCTTCGGGCTGTTTTTGATAAGGAGTTCGGAAGTCTTCTTGGTTTTGTAGAATATTATCAGGTTTATGTTTTGGTTAGGAGTAGTGCTTTTTACTCCTTT